ACACACACACACACACAAAAGCTCTGTGTACTTTCACCAACATGATCACACTTTTATCTTTCAGCTGCTTTATATCAGGCTGAACCTTCAAGATATCCGAAGGGAGTTAGTGTTTGGTTACTCGCGGAGAATTTTAAGAATGATTTTGTTTGGGTTTAATATTTTTGCAGCAGTAAATCATTAACTACACTACATTTGATGGTTTCCCCCGCTCTAACTACTATAAATCTGATGCACCGATTGTTATTTTTAAAATTATTTCAAGAACTTTGAGACATTTTTACACTGAATCTGCTCTTATAAACCTTAAAATTGGCTTTATTTGTATAACTTATTTTGCTTTGTAGTCTTTTATTTCTTCCATAGCTGTAGCAGTTATTTCTTGAGCACATTTATAGCATTTATTTAGCCAAAAAAGCCTCAACCTTTAGATCAGTGGTGTCAAACATAAGGCCCAGGGGCCAGAATTGGGCCAGCTGGACGGCTTTGGAAAGTGAAAACAAGGGCACAGATTTTGGTCTTTTAATTATACATATATACATATACATACATACATATATATACACACACACATATATATATATATACATATATACATATACTGACTTGTGTTTGCTCTGTCATCTGGTCAGCAATATTGACATGCACATTTAAAATAATGTGCCTATATTTTCTTTTATTCTATGTAATATTTTATAAGTGGAAGGTATGCACTCTACTTCCTTTCTAGGTCAGTTTGTTGTGCTCCAAGATAAGTCAGCTTCACCCTACATGCCCCTTCTGAAGCTTGTAAATCCAGGATTGTCAACACACACAAATTAAAAAGCATCTGAATTTTAACTCCTCTTCTTTCGTCCAGGTGAAATCACAACATTATCAGGACAGTTTTAGGCAGCAGCCTGATGAGCGAATGGATGCTATGACGGTGGACAGGAGTCAAAAGGTGAACTGTTTTAGTCTTCCCTATGTCAGCAAGGGGTATCCAGAATCCAGGCAGGACTGAGACGACAAACATCCCTCTAAGCCAGCGTAAATCATCCAATTAAGACAATCACAAAGCAAGGGCGGCCTTCTCTGTTTATGTCAGATGTTTACCCCAAATGGCATAATGGTCTGATTGGATTAGGGGCCTCCCCGTGGGTGGAGATCGTTTTAAAAAAAACAAATCCCAAACTTTAATTGAAAGTTGTATGGTGGGTGGACTTGCATCCTTTACTACCCACTCAAGCACATTTTAATGATTGCACACATGATGTGTGTACACGCACCCACATCGTGTGTATGTGTGTGTAGGTGTGTGCGCTTAAATCTAATGAGATTATACATTTACCTCAGTGTTTTTGTAAACTACTTGTTCCATGATACTGGCTGGATGGACACTTCGTATAAACAAACTATGTTACATAACGGTCTTGGTTTAGATAATGTAGTCTGTAGTCAGAGTGGGTTTGTCTGTGATGGAGCGGTGCACTGTGATGACCTTATCCTTAAATGTTAAGCCCTCTGCCGCCTCCTACAGGCTCAAATGAGGGAAGTGCAAATGAATATGGATAACACAGTTAAAGTTCAAACTGACTTTGAATTTACACGAAAATATAGATGATATACAAGAAACATATTTATATTTTAATAACCACAAATTAGATATGCGCAAACTTACTGATCAAGTTGTTAGGTACACCTGCTCAGCTCCTTGTTACTGCAAATATATAATCTGCCAATCACATGGGATCAACCCAAAACAATTAGGCATTGTCAAGATGATCTGGTGCTCGAATTGTGGATCAGAATCAGGAAAAAAGGTGATTTAAGTTAGTTTGAAAGTGCCATGGTTGTTGGTGCCAGATGATGAGCCAGTCGGAGTATTTCAGAAATAGCTGGACAACTGAGATTTTTCCACGCAACCATCTCTAGGTTTCCACCAATAAAAAAGAAAATATTCAGCGAGTGGCAGTTTTTCCAGCGTAAATGCGCTGTTGATGCTACAGGTCAGAAGCGAATGGCCAGACTGCTTAAATGACTGCTTGTTACAACTAAAGTATGCAGAGGAGCATCTCTGACTGTACAGCACGTCAAACCTTGAAGCAGATGGGTTACAGAAGCAGAATTCCACACTGGGTGCCTCTCCAGTCAGCCAAAAAAAAAAAGGAAAATGGGGCTTCAATTCACCCGAGTTCACTAGGTGTTGGACAACATGACACTGGAAAACTGTCGTCTGGTCTAATGGGTCTTGATATCCAACATTTGGGTGGTAGGAATTAAGTATAAACAACATAGTCAAAGGAGCTTGCAAAGAAAAGCGTCTGGACTTCTTTAAGTTGCTTGAAGACGTTTCACCTCTCATCCGAGAAGCTTCTTCAGTTCTAAGGTCAAATGGTGGGGAGCCAAACAGCCACTTCACAAGCGCATGGCACAACATAGAAGAGCCACCTCCACAGGGCAAGACTCAGCAGTCCATCTGCATCTTAAGGATAAAGGACACTCTTTCGAGGATGCCAATGTTCAAATTTTGGACAGAGAGGACAGATGGTTCGAAAGAGGAGTGAAAGAAGCCATCTATGTCCACTGTGAGCGACCATCTTTGAACAGAGGTGGTGGTTTACGACACCACCTCTCTGCCATCTATAATCCAGTTTTGAGATCCCTTCCCAGACGCCTTAACGCCCACTCACATCCTGGGCCATCTGATCTCAGGAATTCGCATGATAAGGTGGGGCCAGGTTTCACAATGAGCTCACCCGAAACTCTGGCTGATTGGGACCCACGCCCAGTTTCACACCTTGGCTCAGGCGATTAGAGGATCATCAGGGGGTCCTCTTGTCCCTCTGTGGGGGGTTACTCCCACTAGGTTTAAATCTGGGACTCTCCACCATTTGACCTTAGAACTGAAGAAGCTTCTCAGATGAGAGGTGAAACGTCTTCAAGCAACTTAAAGAAGTCCAGACGCTTTTCTTTCCAAGCTCCTTTGACTACGATGACCTGGATGACTGAGAACCTTCACAGATATAAACAACATAAAAGCATATATATCCATCCTAACCTCGTATCAATGGTTCAGCAGCCTGGTGATGATGTAATAGTGTGGGGGATTTTTTCTTGGCATACTTTGGGCCTTTCAGTACCAACAGAGTATCTTTTAACCACCACAGCCTAAGTGAGTATTGCTGTTGACTGTGTCCATCCTTTCAGGGCCACAGTGTACTGATGGTTGCTTCCAGCAGGATAACACATCATGTCACAAAGCTCAAATCATCTCGAACTGGTTTTTTGAACATGATAATGAGGCCACTGTACTCAAATGTCCACAGTCACCAGAACCAACAGAACACCTTTGTGATGCGGTGGAATGGGAGATTTGCATCATGGATGTGTAGCTGATAAATCTGCAGTAACTGTGTGATGCTATCATATCAATATGGACCAAAATCTCAGAGGAATGCTTCCAGTATCTTGTTGAATCTATGCCACAAAGAATTAAGGAAACTCTGAAAGGACTTGTAATTCCAAAGTTTAACTGATGAAGTGGATGGTGTCTATATATACACACTCTCTATATACTATATAGTCCTCTTAATCCTGTTGTCATGTTGAAATATGGGCTCTAAGTTGCTTCAAATCGTCAATTTGGCTCAAATGTCATAAAAACCTTACAGAGAAACTTAAAGATCTATTCAAAAAGTGCACAAATAAAACAAATATTATTGCGAGACAAAGTTAACTTTATTTTCTCTCCGATTTCATAGAAAGCTTACAAAAATGGCAGAAGTTCCTTAAAATAAAATACATTAAGTATATTGAATAATAGCAAGCATATCCTAAATCAACATCAGTGCTCAAATGGACAGCTTGAAAACACCTTGCCCTTTTCACATCCACCCACTAGAGGGCAGTAACCAACTGCAGTGAAACACACTTCCCTCCTCTCTAAAGTGAGCGCCCGTTTTCCTGTGGTTTACTCATGTTAGAGAGGTTTTCATATTATTTAAAACAAATCGTTTTCAATGGGGAGATAGTGCATGTCACAGAAAAGGACCAGGCAGAAAAAAAGTACAACACACACACAGGTACTATGCTTTGTTTTGCCTTGTTAAATATCGATTTCTCTGAAGAAGAAAAAGATGATTTTGGTTTCAGACTTGGTCTTTTCTACTTCTGCTTAACTGAATACATCTCCTATGCAGTGTTAGTGCTTAGAGGCTCTGTGCTGTGCCGAGGTAGATAATTATCATGACAGTTAGGAACAGGCGCTAAGTTTCACTGTGGGTCTTTCTGCGATTGCGGTCTCCCTCCAGCCAGTATGCCTCCGTCTGCATCTCCATCAGTCTAGAGATTGTCCTCTGGAAGGCAAAGATCTCCTCCTCGGCTGTGAAGAGGGTAAGTCGCTCTGCTGCCTCCTGAATAGACGAATCGACACCAGAGTTGGCAACTTGTATACCCAAAAGAGAAATGTTTATGCAGCAGGGGAGAAAGATTAAATCATCGGGCTAATGAGTGTAGAGTCATCGATTTAATCTCCAGCCTGTACATCTGTGTGTAAATATGTGAAAGTGAATACTGCATTTCTGTAAAAAGGATCTAGATCTTAGTGAATTCTTCCCTAAAACAGAGAAATTGAGGACACAACTTCAATAGCAGCAACAAGCAAATTTGTTATTAAACGAAAAAAAGAAAATAATATAGTGATATCCGATTCAACGGGATAAATAACAGAGATGTGACCTTACCTCACTGAGGCCTAGGTCATCCAGGAGCTGTCGGTCCCTCTCATCATCTCCTCCAGTGTGGACAAAGAGCCGGTCCAAAGGAGCGTCTGCCAGCAGCACCACCCTCACCTTGGACAAGGGGGCAAGAAAGAGCGATGTAGGAGTTACTGTCTATAACATTAAGGGCTGAGTGTCTGTTTACTGGTAGCTTACTCACACATTCATTCCCTGTCTTGAATTATTGGATTTAAATGTTATTGTGGGACGTGTTATTGTCTCATTGATGTGATAAAAGTGCTCTCATTCACAATCCCAAGGTTTCTTCCTGTTAAGAGTTTTTCCTTCCCACTGTCACAAAGTGCTTGCTCACAGGGGGTCGACTCTTTGTTGGGGTTTTCTCTGTGTCACTGTAGGGTCTTTACCTTACAATTTAAAGCGCCTTTAGATGATTGTTGTTGTGATTTGGTGCTACATAACTAAAATTAAATCGAATATAATATGGGGTTAAAAGGTAACAAATCAGTGAGTATTAAGTTACCTGTTATGAGGCTGGCACAGTGTTGAGGGGTTTAGCCCTTGTAGTAAATACTTTTTTCAGTGCTGAATAGAGTATTTTGCAAAAAAACCCCAATCAAACAAATGAAAAACCGCGTGAGTGTGATAGTAGCCCTACTGGAGCCTGACTGATATATTTATTGCCCATAATAATCCTAATGATGATGTTGGCCTATCACAGGTACCTGTATTGGTGTATATATTTCCATTACCAGGTCATTAGCTAGGCTTTAATCACTTTCACTGTACCAAAAGATGATGTGGCACCAAAAGCTGGTAAAGTAAAAATTTCCTACCTGTAGCCAGCAAAGAAAGAAGACTCTTACATAAAAAACAAAAACAAAAACCCAACACGCTTCTCTGTGTGTCTGGGTAGGGTAGGACTCCAGCTGCTGATTCCATTCATTGCCCTGGACTGCGAGCAAAAGAAAGGCAAGAATCGGCCTGAAGCAAGAGAGCCCACTGACTGTGGCTTACAGAAGTCTGCCTGAACAGGATAAAAGTGACAGGTACTTGGATGTGTATGTCCATTAGCAAGACTGTCAGGAGAGTGTAATGCAAATTCTGTTCAGCTACGAAGGAGTTCCAAATTTCTGATCCAAGGCCAACAAAGAGAGTGAAAAGAGATGTTTGTGGATGATTATGAATAATACAAAGCACGTCTGATGGTTCACATGGAAACTGGATGACATGGAAACCCACTGTGGAAAATGCCACAAGCAAGACTCACCTTTCATCACAGGGCAACAGGCTAAACATGAAACCTCCATAGAGCAGCACCAATGCTAACATCCAACACAACCTGTCAGGGCGCAAGACTGCAGTGACCCAAGGGAGCATATACATGGAGGCATGACTAGCTCCATGGTTGACACCTCATTCAATTTATCAAGCCGGGAGAGTGACGTAGCAACATGACATCACAAGGCATCCCTTTCTCCAGGAAAGGATTGGGGCAGTAGGGTTGCCCTTGATATACGGCTTCAGTAGCATTCATATATCACCAAAGATCACCACAACATATTCATATTTATCCAGAGCTCTGGACAGATTCTGCCAAGGCTGCCTTTCAGTGTTTAGGATGCTCATAATCGTACCACGATTAAACATCGAAATCTTCAGAGAGTCAGGCTGGACCACTGTCAAAGGTGGAGTATGATGGCCTTTAGCAGCATGTCAACAACACAGCTGCCTAGAGATGTAGGTGCACCCAGGTGGAGAAAACTCTGTGGAAGCTCTAATGCTCCTCCTCCTTCTCATTTAATGGTTTTACTTAATTTTTACTACTTTGTAAATTGTAGATACATACTGAAGATGTCAAATACATGAAACAAGATATATCGAATTATGTAGCAAAGAAAAAAAGATAAATAACTATAAACTAAATATGTTTTATATTTTAGATTCCTCAGAGTAGCCACCCTTTATTTATTTACAGCGCTACAAACCCTTGGTCTTCTCTCAGTGAGCTTCATGATGTAGTCACCTGAAATGGTTTTCACTTCACAGGTGTACCTTATCAGGGTTCATTTGTGGAATTTCATGCCTTCTTAATGGGGTTTGGACCATCAGTTTTGTTGTGCAGAAGTCAGGTTGGTACACAGCTGACAACCCTATTTGACAACTGTTAGAATTCATATTATGGCAAGAACCAATCAGCTAAATAAAGAGAAATGACAGTCCATCATTACTTTAAGAATTGAAAGTAAGTCTATCCAAAAAAATTGCTAAAACTCTGAACGTGCCCCCAAGTGCAGTCGCACAAACCATCAAGCACTACGATGAAATTGGCTCACATGAGGATGTGAGCCAATTTCTGAGGATGAATTCATGCTGAGGATGAATTTATTTGAGTCACCAGCCTCAGAAATCGCAAGTTAGCAGCACCTCTGATTAGAGCCCAGATAAATGGCACACAGAGTTCCAGTAGCAAACACATCTCTACATCAACTGTTCAGAGGAGACTGTGTGCATCAGGCCTTTATGGTCAAATAGCTGCCAAGAAGACACTACTAAGGAAAAGCAATCAGGAGAAGAGATTTGTTTGGGCCAAGAAACACAAGGAATGGAAATTAGACCAGTGGAAATCAGTACACTGGTCTGATGACTTTGGTTCCACACGCTGTGTCTTTGTGCGATGCAGAAAAGGTGAACGGATGGTCTCTACATGAATGTTCCCAACGTGAAGCATGGAGGAGGAGGTGTGATGGTGTGCAGGTGCTTTGCTGGTGACGCTGTTGGTGATTTATTCAATATTGAAGGCACGCTGAACCAGCATGGCTACCACAGCATCCTGCAGCGACATGCTATCCCATCCGGTTTGCGTTTAGTTGGACAATCATTTATTTTTCAACAGGACAATGACCCCAAACACACCTCCGGGCTGTGTAAGGGCTATTTGACCAAGAAGGAGAATGATGGAGTGGAGCTCTGGATTGTTGGAAAACCATTTCAGGTGACTACCTCATGAAGCTCATCGAGAAAATGCCAAGAGTGTGCAAAGTTGTAATCAAAGCAAAGGGTGGCTGTTTTGAAGAATCTAAAATATAAAACATGTTCTGAGTTATTTCAGACTTTTTTTGTTTACTACATAATTCTATATGTGGTAATTCATAGGTTTGATGCCTTCAGTGAGAATCTACAATGTAAATAGTCATGAAAATAAGAAAAAACATTAAATGAGAAGGTGTGTCCAAACTTTTTTTAGTGTATATATATCTTGTTGGAAGCCAAGAGTCGAGTATTTTATATTACACACTCTTGGTTTTGAACTGAGATGTCGAACACATCCAACACTTTTATGGATGTAATGTAGGAAGATTTCTAAAAGTTGTAAAAAAAGGCAGAAAAGCTGGATTAGAAATCCTTCGGTAACACATGAGTGTAATAGAATCCATGCCTTTCATTCTTTTTTTTTGTTTTCACCTTTTTGTCATAGAAGTTGTCTATGAGGGTGGTAAAGCGTCTGGCCTGATCCTTCATCGACAGCGTCAGCACGGGAACGCGGCGGATCAATACTGTGTCGAAGAGCCGCGCCATCTCCAGGTAATCGCTGGCACCCAAAGCCTGGAGAACGACAGAGCATGTGAGATACTGAAACAAAGTCAGACCCGAGCTTCAAACAGACAGCACACCACAAAAGAACACATCAAAGATTTCAGCTTTGCACATGTGCACATCTGCTCCATAAATGGGTACAGTCACTGTGAATTTCTGCACTCTGCACACATGGCCTGAAAAAATGACAACTGTGAAGTGAGGGCACCTTGTGCAAAAAGGTTCTAGCTGTTGTAATTTTTTGTCCTCGTCCTTGGTTCTTTGCCATTCAGGCTGATTGCTCTTAAAATTAATGAGGACTCGCCAACATATGCCAGAGGAAGCCTTGAAGCTCACATGCCTTCTAAAACTCGCCGCTGTCCATCAGGGTTGAGACTTTGCACACGCTACACACTTCCTTTTTCAGGTGCAGTGGGCACAACTAATCATAAAAATGTCAATAGACTTTCTTTTTGACATTGAGCAGAAAATACCTCATCCAGTTCAAAGGCCCGGACAATAAACAGAGCATAGAGGTAATACAGGGACAAGAGAAGTGCTTCGAATTTGAGCAGTTTTGATTAGTAATGAGTGGATTTTGTGTGTCTCAGTAGAAAAAAAAAAAAAGAACAAGAAAAAGGATGTGGTTTGACTTTGGTTAGAGGTCACAGGCTGTTTTAAATGCCATCAAGCAGTTCTAATTTGTTCTCTATCTGTATAGCGAGTAACTGTGGTGTTAAAGCTAAAAACCAAGAAAAGCTTACCTTAAAACACTCCTTGTTTTACTCTAAGTTTTATGTGGCCAAAAGATGTTAAGTGTCGTTATGTATCAGCCTGTTTTGTTGCACAATAATGACAAATTAATCGTAACAATGCTCACTCTGCCGCACAGCTCATCAAAAGTACAGTCAGCAACGGTTCCGCAGGTCTTTTCTAGAGTCACATCTCTACCCAGCACTGAGAGCACCCGGGGACCTGTAGCTATGGAAACACACACACAATGTACAATGGCTACAGTATATACATGTAGTTAGGTTAAAAGGTAGTATATTTATGAAATTTGCTTTACTACACACTCACGATTTTTGATCTTTTAACCTCTAATATAAGACAAAATAAAAGAAAACATAATGAAAAATACTGTTTACTACTAAAAAACTATTTACTATACAATTAAATCCTAAAATTTCACAGTGTTACCAAAAAAAAAACAAAAAAACCTTTAAGGCCCAGTAATTTTAAAAATCTAAGTTCAAGTCTAGAGTTTGTTTTTAATTTAGAATTGTGTAGCTTTTGTTTTTTCCTGTTGAATTATACCATATAAAAAAATGACTTGAAAAGCATCACAAATAGCCCAAAAAAAGTACAATTGTATTATCTATGTAGTTTAACCCTGATAAATGTTATTTCTCTGTGCCACAGACTTCTATTGTTGTAACAGAACTATTTAAAGTAGGTGAGTGAGCCGTCTCGTGGGCTTGGGTGACATGAAAATTAGCAGTTAAAAAAACCTTCAGCAGATACACTAGATAATCCTGTATGACTGAAAAGTCATGGTCTTCAAAATCCCCAGCTGTTTCGGGAATTTAAAAAGACAACAACAATAAAATAAAAAATTAAAATCTATTTTTGAGCCTTAAATACTAAGAAAGGATAAATGTGAGACAAATTAAGGTAGAAATTGATGATTTGTCTAATTGTTATCAACACTGTTGATTTTGGTATTTTCTTTTATCTTTCATATATATAAATATTACAAAATGTGTAATTTTGACGTGTCCTTGTGTCACAGAAAAAAAGTAAAACATAATCAATTTTTCTAAAATGCATTGTCTTCCTTAAATGCCCTTACCACTCTTTTGTCTTAATGAGAGCTCTTCAAACAGTGCATCCAAGAAGGCCTCTGCACCAGGCTCCCCTGTGCTGCACAACACACATGCACCAGCGCGCGCACACACAGGCAACGAAACAGAAAGGAAATAATAGGATATGAAATTAATAATGCTGAAGTGGCCACATCAAACGGTGGCAGCAAGGAGAGCAGGGGAGATGGGTACTTAGCTTTTCACTCCATCGGTAAAAAACAGGATGTTAGGCTCTAAACACAAGCATTAGCCTGTGAATACACGTCGAAATGAGATTGTGAAGTGTGTGTGTTCGTGTCTGCGTGTGCTTGTGTTTTAACTCCAGGTAAAAGGGTGTGATGTACTCTATTTACATACAGTGAAAAGACGAAAGCACTTGTTTGCCTGCGTGCGCGAGTTCCTAACAGCGCATATGTAACAAGGAAAATAGAAAACTAGCTTTTAAAGCTCTGCCCTTTTCTCATATTCTATTGATTCCTCTTTTTATTCTTTTCATGGATCTCTCAAGGTAATGCAGGTCTTTATAAACCTCCCAGCCTGCGTCTCCCTCATTTATTCATCTGTTTGCCTTTTCTTTCTGCCCAAACTACATGATGTGCACAAGCATTTCCTGTGTTTGTGTGCGTGTGTGTGTGTTTAATGTCAACTCAACCCAGCCTCCGCACAAACTCTGGGCTGAGGAGGACTATAAAGAGGGAAGCAGAGAGGTAGTGTGCTTGTGTGTGCGTGTTTGTGTGTCTTACAGGTAGTAAAGTTTCCCTGCTGCAGCCTCGCCAAGCTTCCTGTAGTCAATCCCTGTGTCTAAGCAGACGGTGTGGCAGTATTCCTGTTGACACACACACACACACACACACACACACATTTATTGTTATTTGTGCTCTTTTTGCCCCATAATTTTATGTAAATGACTAATTTAGAGACAACTTTTAGCATCAGCTTCATTGAGCCCGTGAGCATTTACAGCAGCAGGACCTCCTGTGTGACTGACGACAAAATTAAATACAGTTTCCATGTTTGTCACAAGGAGATTTTAATCTTTCTGGACAACACTGACAGTCTAAGACGTGTCAGGCTTCATCTAACACACCTAATCGATTATTCTTGTCCTTTTATTTGATAAAAAGATAAGGAAAATTAAAGAAATATCAGAACTTTGTACATTTTTCGCTTAGCTCTGATTTTCATATTGGTGATTGCTGATAGAAATGCTAAAACATATTGCACTTCTTCAGGTTTAAATCATTGTGACAGCTTGATTTGTCTTGATGATGCATTGTTAATATGGCAACCCTGTAAAATGGACAATCAGAGCTTTGTGTCTTCACTTCTTTCACACTAAAATGGATACAGAACAACCCTAAAAAGTATTAAATTAAATAACAAGGCATCGTAGAAGGCAGCCGGCATCTTATCTCCTATCCTCCGACAGCTTTGGGATTTTGTGTCAGCTGTTCTCGGTTTGCCGAGCCGATCCATTGTTCTGCAGCTATTCAAGTGCGTTACAGCAGGGGTGAACCTGCGATGCAGGGTTCAAACTTTTCCACATAGAGTAAAACGTCAACAGGATTCATGTCAGGGAGTACAGCACAAACTATAATCATCATCTCCACTATTCTATCAAAGAAAAGAGAGGAACTGCATATCATCCCATCCAAGCCATCATCGGCTGACTGAGTATTCAGCGACAGCTCCAGTAAATTATGAAATCAGTGAATTTCTGCCACTGGCCTCCTTAAGCTGCAGGATAATTAGTAATCATCACAAAGCAAGGGGACGGAAATACTCTATTCTTCTCTGCTGTCAACTTTTTATCTCCGTGTCCGCTCACACAAACGGGGTTCCCACTCTGAGCCAATTGGCTGAATCAGGCTTAATAACAACCTGACAAACTCGCCCTCCCCCACGCACAAAAGGGAGGTGTCATTTCATCAACCTACTGTGACCCCACCAACGGGTAAATAGTCCCTCCAGAAAAGAAAAAAAAAGAAGGAAAAAAAAAACTTGTCACTATTGCCGCCACATCATTAGTATCTCAGTTTGTCTTTTCTCCTGCCATCTTCAACTCCCTCCCTTTATGAACCTCGTCTCTAACGTACCTACGGTAAAGGCGGTTGTTGCGTTCCTTGACGGAGGAGCGAGGTGCAAATACGAGAGGGGAAAAGAAGGAGGAATGGAAACACAATCAGTGATGATGATTCCATTGGTTATTTATAATCAGATGAGGCTGAGGCCTCGCGGGTCATTACTTGATTATCCATCTTGAGGGGATTGTCAAGTTCTCACTCCTCTAAGATTTTTATCCGCCTACACATTGTGGTTTTGCAGCCTCCCCGCACCCCGACGCCGCCACCGACAACCTCCTCTCGGAAATGTAGTCAGTCTACTTTGCAACTTTTAAATCTCATCTTAAACAGTCCCTTCAGTTTAATCGGCGAATGTACAAATAGTGGAGTAACAGCTTTTTTTTTTTTTATTTCGTCAGGTGGACGGATAGAAGAGGTGATCATTTATTTTAAGGAAAAATGATAAAAATGCGCTCGTGCTGCAAGTTGAGAAAATATTTAGGTTGTAACAAATTTGTTGGTCACAAGTGTGCAGTCTTTAGTTTTTTTTATTTAGTAATTTTAAAGGCTCACAATTTGATTAATTTATCCATTTGCAATACTTTGAAGTTTTTCTAATGGAATTTTTTTAGTATTTTCCATTTTCTAAATAATCACCTCTTTAGATTTTGTCTTGTTAATTAAATTAAAAGAAACTCCAATCTGCAGTTTTTGTTATTTTAATCATTATTAAGACACATGACAGATTAAACCATAAAAAGAAAAGAAGTGCAGCCCTAAGGTTTATTACCATCAGGCAACAATATTAGCTTTTTAAACTAGTGGTGTAAAAACCTGGCAAACGTGTCGCTGATTCAAAGAAAAGCAGCAAATTAAGAGTTCCCCTGCTCGCACAGATGCATTCACCGGCTCAGACACAAGAGAGAGAGATGACAGACATGAGAATCAGAGACTCTTTAGAAGAAAGTCATCCAAACACATGTAGCTCCAATCATGTCATTGTCCGAGCTGTCCACTGCTCTCACTGGACAGCCGTTTAGCATAAAAACAGAGTGGCTTTTTTTTTTTTACCCCCCTGCTCCCTCCACTCCCCTCTGTGCCCGCTCCCTCCATGACATATCTTTCACTATCCTTTACTCCTCAAAAAGTTGCTTTTGAGTTTTTCAAAGAGCGCGGTGCCATTGAGCTGCAACAAAAGCCAAGGATAGCTGACTATTGGGCCCTGATGAGGTCCACTCCCTCATTACCCAGCAGCAGAAAACATTTGATGCTTTTTTTTTTTTTTTTGTTTGGCCTGGAGAATTGACCAGGCCTCAAAGAAATGCAGGGTGGGAAGGCTGAAAAAGAGACGGGGGTTGGAGGGGGGTGAGGGGAGGAGGGGAAAGGTTGTCGTTCATTCATCCGTGTGTGTCTTACAGCCTTGTGTGGGGACAGGGAAAAAAAAAGTGGGAGGTGGCAGGGACAGAGGGGTCGAGAGAGAGGGAGAGAGATGTGTGTGTGTGTGTGTGGGGGGGGGGGGCTTAAAACAGTGCCTTTATGCTGGCAAGTCCTGGACGACTCTTCTGACATCAAAGTGTTTTCACTAACTGGGGAGCTGCTTAGTTAGTGTGTGTGCGTGCACGCATGTGAGCCGGCTGGGGGTGTATCTGGTGATTTTATTCATTCTTGGGCCGTCTGGGGGGGTATGTGACAATGTGAACACCCTAATTACACCTAATGATCTATTCCCTTAAAGTGTGACTGCCTTGGGCCGGCGATGGATTGTTCTGCAGGGTCGTTCTCACAACCTTCTCCTGCCTCGGCTGTTCCTCTTGGGGAAACATCGTTTGAGTTGGAGGCCCCATCTTTTGTGATCCAGGACCCCACTGGACCCCCCGCTCTCAACCCATCGAGTTTCGTTGGCCCAGGACTGAACCAAAACGGTAACTCGGGCAGTGTGTGCTACCTGCACCTGGCCAACAGAGGCTCCATTTGTTGATCGTGACAGACGCGAGCAAAACATGGGCTCCACGCAGTTTATTACAAAAATTGCTCTCTGATCATCTTGTATAGTATAAACCTGCAAGACCTTTACAAGAAGACTTCAACAATGTAGCATTGCAGTCTTTTAAACCTGCAGGACTTTATGTGCACAATTAAAAAGGAATCAGCAAAATTAAATAAGAGACTTCATCTTTCTTGTTCTGTGCACTGTGAAAACCTGTCCGTACTACCCCCATCCATCTGAGATTTTGTACCGCTGACTTTGTAAAACTTTTTTTTACATATAAGTTAATTCTCCCCAGCACCTCGGTCTTGAGTTAGACTGTGTTCTGTCTTAGTCTGCTGCCTATAAAGATACTGATTAGTGAATAACTAATTATCTGGTGTATTAAAATGGATGCAAATAATTCAAATCTGACATTCAAAAGGGTATTGATGTCAGTAATATACATAAAGTTAGTCTCAGAATAGAATTTCTGTTAGGATCACTGTAGCCAAAAATTGTTATTTCCATGTGCGGTCACTTATATTTGGTGGTACAGTTCTGTTCTGGGACCTCCTCCTGTGGGTTTTGAAAGCAGCAAGAAGACGACAGAGCAGGCATCAGTGAATAAAGATGTCACAGTGATTCAGATAGGTAGGGTGAACATGGTTTGCACATGTGACTTTAGTCAGTTTAGTCAGTTTGCCAGATGATGTGGGCTCCCACTGAGATCAGCTGATCTACTGGGAGAGGGGCTTGACTTTATGTCACTTCCGGGGTGGCTTGACTTCTACTGTTTTCCCTGATTTCCTGGTTGTCTGTACTGTGACTAGCAAAGGCAAAACCGCACCCCATGAAAGTCGAATTAAGAGACATTTCTATATTTGTACACACTTACTATTACACATCTGACATCTGAACACTCTGATAGAAAACAGGAAAACATCATTTGCCCAAACGGAACCAAGGTAACTGCCATAATTAAAATTTAGGTAACAATTAGGATCCTGGTCTGATTCTTTGTGCTTAAAAGAAATCGATTTGTCCTATCACCCCTTGTTCAGGTTTCAGAACAGACAGCGAGAGACACTGATATGAAAGAAGTGAGCTTTGCCCTCGAAGCATGCTGCCATTAAATGTTTTGAAAGACAATGACTGTCATCAAATATCAAAATCTATTTGATTTGAACTCTTCCAGCTCTTCACACACGGTCCTTCTTACCAAGGTCTTCAGTGGAGGACCACGTCCCTCTCATTCTTCAGTTTTTCCCTTTCTCTCTTTGTCATTCTGTTTTGATTTATATATTTCATTTTTTCTCATCACCAACTGCTCAGCACAGAGCCAGTATTGACAGTGACACAAAAAAAAGAGATGAAAAGTGGATCAAAAGAAGGGTTAAAAACAGATAGAAACTCAGAGATACTCAAAGTTGCCTCAGGGTTGTTGTCATGTTTTTCTCCCCTCGGCAGCTTTGTGCGCAACTGCAATCGAACAAGTGGAGGGAAAATAAAGTCACTATTCTGCTACCAAAATACAGAGACCTGACCTTGGGTGAGTAAAGCCAGCGAGCAGAACAGGATAGTGATAGAATAAAGAGTGGGGATAGAGGGGTGGAGAGAGAGGACGGGCAATGAAAAGTGGAGTGGAGAGCGAGGACAGTTTGCGAGAGAGAGAAAGAGTGTCTTCGTTACAATACTGGCAGCATCCATTAAAAAAAAAAAGAAAAAAAACCCAAACCCTGTATTTCACGAAACTACGAGCTTTGCAGCGGCTGCAAAGAAAAAGACGCCGGAACAACTGAATAGACTCATAAATGGAGTCTACAGAGATGCTACAAAGGACGAGAAATTACAAACGACTGTGTGGATGAAAAATAGCAAACAAACTAAATGATGAACAATAAAAAAAATAAACAGCGTCTTCTGGATTAAATGAAGTTGTATGTAGCCCATGCGTTGCAAGTCATTAAATCATTTTTTAAATATAAAACTGGATGATTGTGGAAGATCGGGAGCTGCAGAAGGAAAGGTGACCCAACTAATCAGAAGTCAACAGTTAGATAAAGACATCATCCGAGGCGGACAAAAGTGGCGGATTAACCCTTACCACTCCGGCTCAGGTGATGAGGGGAAGAGGTCAGAGGCTATTTTTGTATGTTAGCACCCTCTTTTCTCTCCTGCACTCACCATAGAAACACATGCTGGCACGCACATGCGGAGGCGATCTGCGCCGAGTCAGCGGCTGCTCCCTGCGAGCATTCATTCAATCTATTAAGGGTCAGCTAGTTAGCAAGCTTTAACTTTACAGGACAGATCACTATAGAGAATCCATAGCACCCCACCTAAAAAACACCCCCAAACCCTCCAACCAGATGGCCTCACAAAGGAAAACATGGTATCCTGAAAGAGAGGAGCCAGTACGGGGCAGAGAGGGACAGCAGGCATTCAGGACCTTGATGAGGGTGGATTAGAGAGGGCAAGGGTGCTGCTGCTGCTGGGTTAGCAGGTGGGGTGCAGGGTGATTCCAGGACTCTATGCAACTTTTAGTGGGTTTGACTTCAAATGTGCGTGTGTTTAATGTTACAGTGGTTTGATGACTCTGGTCAGGTTAGATTGCCTGTATTTTGCACACATATTCACTTTAGCATTTGTAATGCAACAGATTATTTATTATATCAGAGCTAAACTGGAGTTTTAGGGTTAAAAATACTGTGATACCTGAATATATTCAGAGGCAATGCCATGTTAAGTCATTTTATAAAGAACCAAGCCCAAATTAATCTGAGTGACTATGTTCTATATCATGTATTGTATTTCTTTAACAAAATCCCCATCATAGTATGAACAAAAACGAATGCATTTGTTTTCAAAAATAAACCAAAAGTCAATAATAAGGCGTTTACTATTGTATATGTATAATCCTGTGTAAAAGTTCCTATTAAAAGCAAATGAGGCATGCCGAATAATAATGAGAATTTAACAACAATTTCATTCAAAAAGCCACAAAATTCAAGTAGCAGTATGAGTGGCGATTTTCAGCGCACTCACAAGAGAGCATTTATCTACTACTTCATACCAGGAGTGTGCCTGAGCCAGACCTTAGCCAAGTACTGCTTATGTGACTGTGTGTGTGTAAAAAATGTCTGCTTTCAAACTAAAGGTCATAATATATAACAAGATATTCTATAGGGAATCCCTAATAAAGTCAGCGTGGTCAACCTGGGGCATTAAGGAAACTCTTAGTTTTGGTAAATTAGAACTTATTATTAATTATTGGCCGTCCTACATAACGAAACGATGGCAGTGCAAGTGGTTTGCATCAATGTGATTATATGAAACTGGAAGGTTGCACAGCTCAGGTGCCTCATACTTACAGGACTTATTGTTCAATTATGAGTTTATCCGGTACGTTTAGTGTCAGACGAGTGGTTCTCAGTTTTAAATTCTTAATAACGCTAAGCTGCTTACTTTCAGTTGCTATCTTGCCCAAAAAAATTGCAGCAGTGTCAACGCTTGCCTTTACTATTCAGACAAAATACCAATAAAAGGCGCAAGAATGCTGCCCTCCTCTGTTGCAAAATGCATGACAACAAATTAATATGCAATTATTTATGATCACGATCACTCCAAACACATCAATGATCATCTGGGATGCAGGCAGGATAATGGTGCTACCTGCTTAAATTGCAAAGTAGATTTTTCGCTAGAAATGCTAACCGTCACATCGCTCCTCTTCTCCGCTCCACACCCCGCCCACCACCCCCCTCTACTTTTGAAATGCAAGCAGCCTGGGTCAGTCACAGCTAGTCCACCCATCTCCCACTCTCCCATTCACATTACCTGTACCCACTCACACTCTTTTCCATCTCTCTCTGCCTTTCTCTCTCTGTGAGTCTTTCAGTGTGCCCTGGTATGATCAAAGACAGCTTTGTGACACTGTGTGAAGCATCCATGAAGCAGAAAACATCAAACCACTAAGAGCAACTTGCAAAAAGACGGACACAGAGGCATACATGCAAGTGTGTGTCCGTGTATGTGTGCGTGCGCGCGCGAGATAAACAACTGAATAAATTAGAAAGACAAGAGAGAGGGATGACTTTGTCTCTACCTTCAGCACATCGATGAAAGGTAGGAAGGTGTCCCTCTGAAGTCCGTTTTTGTACAGATCTGAAAGAGGAAGGGAGGGCCTGTATTAGAGCTGCTGTTTAGCCTTCTAATAATGTCATCCCCTCGCCACAGATTGGCAGATAAAGTGGCTATTGATGAACTGAAGGATGGGTGGGGAGGCACGACAAAAGGACTGGGACCAGGGGAGAAAAATGGATTTCTCTACCGGCAGCGGCAGCAACATAAAATTCATTACATTCCCAAACAATGGTGGCCAGAGAAAGGACTGTCGCCTTTTCAGCACGGACAATGTCCACAGCAGCTCGCTGAATAGAGGTTTCAATTAGCTCGGCTGGAACAAATTACATCTGAAGTAGCATCCCTGATAGACAGATAAAACAGATAGGGATTCACACACAAACAGGGACAAAGACACACACACAGCGAGGCTCAAGCTCTCTCCAGCTGCAAATGCAAACAAGTGGCCGTTGTTGATGTTTGGACTTAAGCTTACTACAGTAGGACCTGACACAAAAATAACCTTTGCTTAATAACTTCTATACTGTAATGGACTGTGCCCTGTGAGACTGGAATATGCCAAAGGTTTAAGAAAGAGAGTTCAGTGTTTTGGGACGTACATTTTTCTTCCTTTATTGGTGCAAATCTAGTCCTTGTAGAATGTCCTAAAATGAGGTAAATACATAAAACTCGTGATGCATTACACATGTCATTATTTACTTAACAAAAACTAACCCACGATGCAGAAGCAGTGTGTGAAAAACTAAACATTCACTGCAGTAATTGTGTTAGTAATTGTTACGTTTTGGGGGGGGCATTTGTTTATGTACAGCTCTCTTAAGGTCCAACCACAGCATTTAAATCAGGTTGAGATGTGGACTTCGACTGGGCCTTTGCAACACATTGGCTGAAAAATGAGAAAATAATCAATCTGTTTTAGATTCGCTGCTGTGCTTGAGATCATTTCTTGTTACAGAAACACATTTCTCACATGTGACTCTAAAATACTTTGGTATACAGAAGAGTTCATGACTGTTCCCAGATCATGTAGCTGCAAAACACCCTTCTCCTGCCATGCTTGACAGTTGTTATGAGGTGTTTGTGCTGGTATGTTGTGTTTGGATTTCATAAAATGT